CCTCCCCAGAATTATGTGTTGGGAAGAAAATTCTAGAATTCAGATAACTAGTGAAGGGGGACCGTTGTTTGTCTTCTGCTCCAAAGGGATTCATGGAAGGATAAAGAAGGACGCATCCAGTTGCCTCTTGTTATACGTGCAGTCACAGATAATTCCTTGATCATTGCTGCAAACCAAAAATTGTGATGGTTGTGGAAGAACTGGTGGATGACACGGGGGAAGTATGACTCGCCATAGGTGGAGCAAAATCCGGAGGAGGAAACTATGGGTATGTTATCTTTACAAGCTATTGAAGGTGTTTCAGTTGGCAACACATTGAAAATTAGAGGCCTCCTGGAAGATAGTATGTTCATCCTTCTGGATAGTGGCCGTTCACATTCATTCCTCGATGGGAATGCCATGAAATGGGTTAAGCATAAGGTGGTAGGAAAAAGGGCTTTCACTGTTATGGTGGCCAACGGCCAAAAAGTCTTTAGCAATATAAAATGTCCTGAAGTTTCATGGATCATGCAAGGTTATAGTTTCTGTTACAATTTTCAGGTCATTGAACTAGGAGGATATAATATAATATTGGAGATCAATTGAATGAAGCAATTTGGGTCCATAATTTTTGAGTTTGCCAACTGTGTAGTTAAATTCCATTATGGGGACTTACTAAATTGTCCTTGATGGAACTTGAAAATAGGGTAAGCTAACAATGCTCACAAGCTCAGAAGCTGTTAGAGCAACAACAATCAATCGAAGATAGAGCTATTTTCTTGATTGTGGAAACTCATACTAGGGTGCAGAGTTGGCAAAGACACAGAATGGACGACTAGAGGTCCTATTGGAAAGATATGAAGATATTTTTGCTGAACCGAGGCCTATCTCCTCCTAGAGCCTTCGATCATGCAATAACGTTGGTCAAGGAAGGAGCCACAGTTAATGAGCACAATTACTTCCAAAAGAAAATGAGAGAGGCATATTAACAAGATGCTAGAGGACTCAATCATTCAACCCAATCACAACCATTTCTCCTCACTGGTGTTGTTGGTTAAGAAGAAAGATGAGACATGGCATTTTTGTATGGATTGCAGGGAGCTGAATTCCCTAACAGCAAAAGCAAAATACCCTATTCCTATTAATGATGATTATTGGATGAGTTATGCGGGGCTTTTGTCTTCTCTAAGATTGATCTTAAAGCTGAATATCACCAAATAAGGATGAAGGATGAAGACATTTATAAGACTACTTTTAGAACCCACCAGAGTCACTATGAGTTTGAGGTGATTTTTTTCAAGCTCACCGGCATGCCTGCAACTTTTCAAGCCCTCATGAACCTTCCAGAACTCCCTACGGAACTATGGTGGTGTTTTTTCGATGATATCTTGTTGTACAATGTGAATGAATAGGAACACTTCAAATAGCTAGAGGTAGTGTTGGCAACCCTCCACGTGAATCAACTGTATGCCAAGTGGTCGAAATGTAACTTCATACAGTTAGAGCTAGAGTACCTCGGCCATGTTATTTCACAACATGGAATGAAAATAGACCTCAATAAAAGTGAAACTATGCTTAGCTAGCCCTGACCACATACATTGAAGGCACTCTGTGGGTTCTTGGGACTAACAGGCCACCGTAGAAAATTTATTAAGAATTATGAGATCATTACTAAGCCTCTCACTGATCCACTGAAGAAAGGGGCTTCCCAATGGAGCCCAGAACCGACTGATGCCTTCCAACGGCTTAAAAAGGCTATGACAACTAGCCCAACACTTAAGCTACCTCAGTTTGATGAACCCTTTATAATGGACGTAGACGCGAGGGACAAGGGCATCAGAGCAAAGATTATGTAGGGAGGTGGAGCCATAGCCTTCATTTGTGGAGCATTGAATCACTATAATCAAGCAAAATCAATCTATGAGAAGGAATTAATGATAGTTCTCTATTTGTGGCCAAGTGACACCGCTACTTGGAAGGAACTCATTTCATAATCAATACCAACTAGAAAAGCCTCAGATATCTTCTGGATCAGCTAGTTCCTTCCATGATTTAGAAGGGAGTAATCAAAATGCTCAGCCTAAATACACAATTCAATATAGACTAGGAACCTCCAATGTGGTGGTTGATGCACTGGCTAGGTAGAGACTGGGGCCAGAGGAAGTGGAGACCTTGTCCACTGTAAAGCAACCATAGCTTAGTACCCAAAGTTCTAAACAATTACTAGGACGACCCTCTATTAACTCATTACTGGAAGAGCTGCTTGTGTCTTTAGACAATTGGCCACGTTTCAAATTGAACAAGGATATTTTCCGCTACAAGGGTAAACTGGTCATTGGCAACAACAAGGAATTGGAGACAAAATCTTATACCAATTCCATAACTCAGCTGTGGAAGGTCACTTGGGCATTAAGGCCACTTATGAGGGCCTCAACCAACACTCTTGTTGGACAGACCTTAAGCAGCAAGTAGTTAAGTGGATACAACGATGCGAGGTGTGTCAAAGATGGAAGATAGAAAGAGTGCCTTTACCCAGGTTACTACAACTTACTAACGGCCTCACAAGCCTCACTTCTTTTTGAACCTCATTGAGCAGCTCCTAAAATCCGAGCCAAAAGCACTATCTTGGTGGTCATTGATTGTTTCACTAAACATGGGCATTTATTCCCTTGTGCCACCCTTTTGGCAGCACAAGAAGTAGCCCGACTTTATATGGACACTGTCTGCAAACTACACGAAGTGCCGCCAGTATTGGTTTCAGATAGGAACAAGTTATTCAGTAATCTCCTTTGGAAGGAATTAATGAAAGCATTGGGAATACAATTGCATTTCAGTTCGGTCTCCCATTCCCAAGCAGATGGTCAAACAGCACGACTCAACCAGTGCTTGGAGATGTACTGCAAATGTATGGTGCATCACCAACCCAGAACGTGGGCAAGATGGCCTATCCTCTGTTGAGTGGTAGTACGATACAACCTACCACTCTAGCTTGAAGATGACCCCTTTCCAAGCTTTATGGGTGTTTTATACACTGTGTACACTGTGTACTTACAAGTCAACCCGATGATCCGCTAGCACTTACTACAGGCTCAATCCTGCACAAAGCAGTATGCGGACACTCATCAGACTGAAATAAGTTTTCAGAAGCAGGATCTAGTATTGCACAAGTTGCAGCCTTATAAGCGGGGATCAGTGAGTGGGGAAAGCCATTCCAGGTTGTTTCCATGCTTTTATGGCCTTTTTGAAGTTTTACAGAGGCTTGGCCAGGTAGCCTACAAACTTAAGCTGCTACCCACTTCACGTAGGATACCTAGTCTTCCATGTTTCACAACTGAAGAAGTATGTAGCTGGGAAAGAAGTCCGAGTGGATGAGCTACCTGAAGTAAGTTGAGAAGGACTTGTCAGTGTGCGACCAAAAAGAAAACTTCATGAAAGGAAAATCCTTCGTGATGGTAAGGAAGTGGATCAAGTGTTGATATACTAGGCTGGTACTATACAAGAAGACTGTACCTGGGAAAATCTAGAAGATATGCATAAACAATTTCCCAATCTCAACCTTAGGAATAAGGTTGTTGTTCGAGGGGAAGGTGTTGTAAGGAAACTGCTGAAGGTGTATCAAAGATGAAAGGGCAAAATGGTAACATAGACACATGGGAATAGCAGGATATTTTAATACAGTAATTGGTGGTTTTTTCGGAATTTTCTTTTTTCTGTTATAACCAAGTGGAGCGTAGTCTACAAGCATATATAGTGTAAAATCGGAGGGAAGAAGAATACAAGATTCTGAATTCAAATTCGTCACACCCATACTCTCATTTCTCCTCTCCGTCCTCTCTCTCTCTCTCTCTCTCTCTCTCTCTCTCTCTCTCTCTCTCTCTTCCCAAAGCCCTCTTGACTCTAAATTCTTCTCTTAATTCTCTTGGAAGGGATTAGCCAAGAGCATATGACTAAAGCTCTTGACACATTTCTATTGTACCAACTGATGCTTAGTTCTTATCAGTGCTATTCTTCGGGAAAATAGCATGAATATGACCCAATTTGCCTTCATCTAATGGGCATCCTGATGTTTTTACAAAAAGGTTCTGGATCATTTTGCATAGTCTGTGCTGATCTCGTCCTTATGGAAAATTACTGCCAGATCTAGGAGCTCTGCTCTCTATAATGCTGGAGCACAGAGTGGTTAGGTTGTATTACTATTTTTTTATCAAGTTTATTGCTTTAGAAGGACAATAAATTATATAAATGGGAGAAAATCTGCAAGAAAATGTATGTCAGATGCAATATTTGAAATTTAACAAGCTATATTATAAGTTCAGTCTGACCATTTCGTCCACCTTAACTGCTTTTTCCCAGTGTGAGGTTTCAGGACTTTCCCCTCTACCCTTCGGTTTCTTCACATTTGACTCGTTTATCTTTCTACAGATTGATCCATCAGAGAAGTTGGATGCAGAAGTTGAAGACATTCTTGTGGATATTGCGGAAGATTTTGTGGATTCTGTGAGTATTTCAATATACTTATCATGAGCAACATAAAATACTATGCATATACATAAAAGTTTCAGAGTCATCTTTATGGAGGACACTTGACTGGATAAAGTTCCTGCTAAGTTATTTGGACAATTTTCAATGAGCATTCACATCATAGCTTGTCTATCCGGAAAATATTTAGATTTTTTTACATATTATTCTCAACTTTGTGCTCTACAGCTTTTCTCTTGCTGAAGATTGTAAATAATGTCTTGTAGAATGTTCCCCAAGAAATGAAGAATTTCTGTTTAGCCATAGGTACTTGGTACAAGACTTGGAAAAAACAAGGACAATTGGATAAAATTCTGCGATTATGTTGTCTTTAATTTTTCTTGTTTGTTCCATGGAACAGGAGTCTTTAGAGACATTCGCACCCCAGAAATGATTCTCCAGTAGAACTTCTTACTATTTTCATAATTGTTCTAGTTTCTCTTGTATGATTTTGTGATTGTTGCTGATGTCAGGCCTGGTTTACTTATTTTCTAATCAGATTACTACATTTGGTTGCTCATTAGCCAAGCATCGGAAATCAGATACACTAGAGGCAAAGGACATACTTTTACATCTTGGTGAGTTTTTCTGGAAAATCCGTCATGGTTTTGTTCTTTCTTTTTGTGCTTAGGGTGCCTAAATTATATTAATCACTTGCCTTCGTCCAGAAAGAAACTGGAATATGTCGCTTCCTGGCTTTGGTGGTGATGAAATTAAGACATACAGAAAACCAGTAAGAATTTTTAAATTGACTGAAATTCTTGTCTTAAATTGTGTAATGTAGTTGTGCAGTTCTCTTCGTAACCACATTGTTTAGATTTCATAGTCATAGAACATGTTCTCGTTTTTAGTTTCCTAACTTTGATGGCTATTTCATCTGATATTTTTGCAGCATGTAACTGACATTCACAAGGAGAGACTTGCAGTGGTAAGTTTCGATTTTTTAGTATCCTCCACTTGCCAGAAAAGATAGAACCTGAATATCTTTGCAGACATGTCTGTTCATTCCCGCAAATATTTGTTCCTTAATTTAGTGGAACTGGTGTTATTGGATCAGATGAAAAATCCAATCAACTTCATTGTCTTTTCATTTTAGAAAGTTTGAAAGTTAAAACTTTTCTACTCATGAAATTCTCATGTTCATGCGTATCTGGTCTATCTTTTTCTTTTTTTTGTCAGATAAAGAAGTCGATTATTGCAGCAGAGGTTACCAATACTAAGAACTTTGTTGGACAAGGTGTTACAAATGTAAAGGGTAACCTGGCAAAGGCACCTGTAAATATTATTGGCTCCCCAAACTTTAAAGCACGTGAAGTTACATAAGACC